TAGAGAGCCCAGATATACACCCACGCATATGTGGTCAATTAATATATGATAAAGGAGCCATGGACATACAATGGGATAAAAAACAGCCTCTTCAATAACTGGCATTGAGAAAACTGGACAGCTGCATGCAAAAGAATCAACCTGGATTATTGTCTAATTCCATACACAAGAGTCAACTTGAAATGGATCAAAGATCTGAATGTAAGACATAAAACCATAAAAGTCTTGGAAGAAAACATGGGCAAAAATCTCTTGAACATAAATATAAGCAATTTTTTCCTGGACACATCTCCTCAGGCAAGGGAAACAAAAGCAAAAATGAACACACATGGGACTACATCAAACTAAAAAGCTTCTGTACAGCAAAGGACACCGTCAGCAAAACAAAAAGGCATCCTACAGTATGGGAGAATTTATTTGTAAATGACTTATTTGAAAAGGGGTTAACATCCAAAATATGTAAAGAACTCACATGCCTCAACACCAAAAAAACAAATAATCTGATTAAAAAATGGGCAGAGGACTTTAACAGACACTTCTCTGAAGAAGAAATGCAAATGGCCAACAGGCACATGAAAAGATGCTCCACATCGCTAATCATCAGGGAAATGCACATTAAAACCACAATGAGGTATCACCTCACACCAGTTAGGGTGGCCAGCATCCAAAAGATAAGAAATAACAAGTGTTGGAGAGGATGCAGAGAAAAGGGAAGCATCTAAATCTGTTGGTGGGAATGTCAATTGGTGCAGCCATTGTGGGAAGCAGTATGGAGGTTCCTCAAAACACTAAAAATAGAAATACCATTCGACCCCAAAATTCCATTTCTAGGAATTTACCTAAGGAAACAAAATCCCTGATTCAAAAAGACATATGCACCCCTATGTTTATCACAGCACTGTTTACAATAATAGCCAAGATATGCATGCAACCTAAGTGTCCACCAGTAGATGAATGAAGAAGATGTGGTAAACATACACAATGGAATATTATTCAGCCTAAAAAGAAAAGAAATCCTGCCATTTGCAACAACATGGATGGATCTAGAGGGTATTATGCTCAGTGAAATAAGCCAGGCGAAGAAAGATAAATGTCATATGATTTCACTTATTTGTGGAATATAAATACAAAACAAAACAGAATGAACAGCAGTAGACTCATAGACACTGAGAAAGGACTGGTGGTTACCATGGTGGGGGGCAGGATGGGGGGATAAAGGAGCACAAAAGTTCTCAATCATAACGCAGGTTGGTCACAGGGACGGCAGCACAGCATGCAGAATACAGCCGATGGTTCTGTAACATCTCCCTTTGTTGACAGACGGTAACCACACTAGAGGGGGTGAGGATTTAATAATATGGGGAACTGTTGAACCACTGTGTTGTGTACTTGAAACTAAAATCAGACTAATTATCAGTAAAAAAGAAAAACCTGTCCTCTGGAAGTGAACCCCCGACGAAGGACATGCAAATATACAGACAAAGCCTAGAGTTTAAAAGAGGAGTAAAATGTGACGTATAAGAAAAACAAGGGCTCAATTTTTTTTGTGATTGACTCTGGAGTCAGATAAACCTACATTCAAGTCCTGAGTCTACCATTTAATAGCTTTGTGACCTTAGACAAGTTATGGGACCTTTCTTTGCCTCAGTTTCCTCACCTGCAAATTAAGTGTCTTCTGTTTGTAGCTTGAGTGAGAATTAAAGGAGACAATGACATATGAAACCATGAGAATGGTGTCCGACACAGCGTTATCTCAATGAATGTCAGGTTCTGTCCTTACTACTTTTAGCGAGGTTTTCTTATAAGGCATCCTCCCCGTCCGTGTCTGTTGAATTGCCCCTCAATATTTACTTCTCTGGGAAAACCATATAGATACAACCAAACTAAATTCAAACTAAACCATAAATAAATCATTACCTGGCTTCCACTCCAGGCTGGCCAGTCTCATGATCACCTCAAGGATAAAAAACAGCCACAACTCCCCATTAGCTTTTAATGTCTCTGGATGTCTTCAAGTGAATATCTTTCTTTACTTTTCTTTTCACCAGGGAAAAATAAGAATTTATATCACCCACCTCGATCAAGACCAGCTCCCCAGTGTGCACAGGAAGTCAAGAATAGAAATCAAGCTCAAAGGGCCCTGAGAAAGCCCCACAAGTCACATACTACACACCCAGTGTTCAGACAATGACTGCATTATTTCTCTTGGGCTCTAGATGCAAAAAATGCATATAAAATGTCACAAGAGAACTTTCTGAGAGTTTTTAGATATTTCTTTTCACAGTATGAACAAAAATTTTTTGACATTTTTTACCAAATCTTTCAACTCTCATTCATTCCCCAGCAAGTGGCCCCACTAGCCACAGCAACTTCCCCATATTCCTGGGAGACACTGCCATCTTGTGGTCACTGTGAGCACTACAGGGCACGACTAGCCCCCCCCCCCACCCCTTTGTCTCAGTTCTGCGTTCTATTTGTTAAACTCAAGAGTTACTTTTCTCCAATACTCCCTCTAATTATACTGACGATATCCTCAAATAAGTACTTTTCTTTTCTCACTATGAAGAATACAAATGAGCCATAATAAAATCCATGAACTATTTAGGCTGAAGGACTTTTTTTTATCTGTGGATAAATAGGTAGAAAGAAAATCAAGCCTTTAATTGTAAACCTTGACAGTATTAGTACAAACCCACTATTCTGAGGTTCGAGAGGAAAGCACAAGCTGTGTGAATTCTGTGCCTTCAGTAACACCTCCCAATCAGTACTGAAGACACATTAGGTGGTGACACCCAACAGGTCGCGCGGCATGTATGGGAAGCACGATAGGGGATCTACCTACGTTAGCTCGTGCATTCGTGAGAAAAGCACGGTCACTGCGATCCGCACAGCTTCCCGGGTGGATTCAGAGCCAGCACTACCTTCTCCCAAGGGCAGACACCCCTGCGATCCTGCGGCGGGCTGTCTTCCACAGACAGTGTCCAGCATATAGCAGCTCTTCAGCAAACACCCGTGAATGAATGCATGCAAGAGTAAAGGGATGAGCCTGCGGCGAACGCTGCCCGCGCTCACTAGTGTCTGGGCTCCTCTCTTCTTTCCGGGCACATGACTGGGTTGCATTTCCCACTTTCCTTTGCAGTTAGGTGTGGCCATGGGACTTAAGTCTGGTCACTGGAACCACGATGCCCTGGCCTGGCTTATTAAAACTTCCTCTATGGGATCCTCCTTTATTTTCCCCACCTGCCAGCTGAGATGAAAAGACTCCAATAACCTAAAGGAGGACGTATTGGCCACAGGGTAGGAGTTGGGATCCCTGAATCGCTACATGGAGCAGAGTCCACCCGCCCCCACGACCCTCGTTAGATTGCAACACAAGTGAACAATACAGTGTTTTGTGTTAAGTCACTCAATATGATGGCTGTTTGTAAAGCACTCAGTCCGCCCAGACTATTAAAATTCCAAAACAGTCCTCTTGAAATTATGAACACTGCTTTTTCTGTACGAGAAAGACATCCTACGTTGCTGCCATCTTAACTTAAAGCTCTGCACAACCAAACAAAGAACTTTTAGCTTCACTTTTGTAATTAGTTCCTATCCTCACTGGAGAGTCTTGAATTAGAGACCTTAAAGGGAATTTAGTCCTACTCTTTTTTTTCTTAAGTTTCCACTGAGGCTGAATTAGCCCAAAGGAGAAAGAATTTTCTCCAGGGTGGCTTAATATGCTAAAGTTTCCATCAGTGTTTAGTATTGCCTGTAAGATGGCATGTTTCATAGAATCAAGCTAAATCTGCTCTCCAGCACATCTATTTTTAAGATTCCCGTGGTATCTGAGCGTGACTCCGCGGGATGAATCCTGCCTGACTCCTCTGCCGGCACAGAAACCCACAGAATGGGCTGGGGTGGGGCAGGCGGTTGGGGGGACGCAATGATGGCTGTTGGCCGTGCTTAGACCGACCTGAGGTCTCCCCTACCCAACACAGGGAGCCCTCCGGGTTATCAAAGAAGCGCAGGCGTACATAGCGTGTGGCGGTTCTCAGGTGTAATGTATTTGCAGTTAAAGCCACTTTGACTCCTTAACATCCATGGGCATGCAACTTCCACTTCTGATATCACCCACTTAACTCCCTAGGCATCCACTGATTGCTTTTCCCTTGTTTAATTGTTCTGCCACGGAAATACGTAATGTTCAATACGGGTCACCCAGGAGAGCTATTATCTGCTTCTGATCTTCCTCTTTGCCATCTGCCAGGGACTTCTAGGGGCCTCCTCGGGGTGAGTTACAATTAGGAACACACCTGAGAGGAGAGGCAGAGAGGACTGCTTTACTTCAATTAATGTACAGGCTTAGAAAATTCAAACACAATACCACCCTTAAAATGTGACAAAATTATTTCAACATTCAACTGTCAGAAATAATAGGCAGTTAAGAAGAGTCAGGACATTTTGACAGAGAAGAATAATGAAGGAGTATTTGCCTCACCAGATACTACAACTGACTTAAGGCCACATTAATTAGAACAATGTGGTAAATGACATGAGAATAAATAAATAGATCTATGGAATTAAAAAATGGTTATAAAATGGGCCCTAGAATACTTAAGATTTTTAGGATATTATATTGGTTTTTTAAAATCACAAGTCAAGGAGGATGGGATAGCATATGTGACAAACATGTGTTTTAAAAAATGGATATTTGGGGGGAAATCCTTCCCTCTTATCATGTAGCAAAATAAATCCCAAATGCATGAAAGAATCTAAAGTGAAAGCTTTGCAAGATCTAGAAAAATATGACAGTGACTATTTTACACACTCTGAGGATGGGAAAAGATTTTCTGGGCAAAAAATTTATGGAAAGAAACAATGGAATAAAATATTGATCCATTTTGACCCCATAAAATTTTGTTACTGAATTTCAAAAACATTATGATCAAAATTAAAAGACAAATAGATGCTGAAAAATATTTGCAATACATATAAAAGTTTAATATCCTTATAAATTCATGAAAGACTGAAATAAAAACCAAAAACAAAGAATTTTTTAAAAACCTACAATAACTTAACAGAAAAGTGAGAAAAAAGTATAAACAATTTATTCACAAAAGAAAATATACAAATGGTTAATTCATGCATGGGGAAAATGTTCACTAATAACTGACACAAATTAAATCAAAAGCAAGGTGTCATTTTTGCCTATCACATGGCTTAAACTTTTTAAAGATAATAATACCCATTGTTAGTAAGGTTATGTTAAGACTGACACTTTCCTATCCTGGTGGTGAGGGTGTACATTTGTCAATACTTAACTTCTTTATAAATTCCTTACCCATGGACATTGTAATCCCACTTCTGTGAATATTTCCTAGAGAAATAATCAGAGATGCAAGTATTTATGTTCCAAAATGCTTGCTGAAGCACTATCTGTAACAGTGTAGAATTGGAAAAAACACAAATCTCTCTTGCTAGAATGGTTACATAAATTATGGTGCATTCATAGAAATGGATTTATGCAATCATTAAAATAATGGTGTAAAAGAATATTGGATGCTATGAGAAAATGCTAATACATTAAGAAAAGCAGGGTACATGTTATCTATGTATATGCACATATATATTACATTTAACACTCTCCAAAATAGAAAAAAATTTCTAAATATTAATGTCATTTCTCTCAGGAGGTAGAAGTGTGGATTATTGTCTTGTTCTTTTTACTTTTCTACATTACCATTGTTGATTGAATTAATAATTTAATTATTAAAAATAGAAAAAAAATATTTAAAGACTATCGGTATCTATGTGGTTATCACTCTTTCAACATCTACTCGAAATGATCTTTGAGATCATTTGAGTAGTGGAGTTCAAACTTCTAGAAATTCTTTTGCAGATGATTCTTATTTAAAAACATCCAAATGGCATTTTCAGAAAAATCCTGTCCATTGTTTAGGTGAAATCTGCAGGACACAAGAAATTTTTTTTCAGCTTTACTGACATATAATCGACAAATATATGCATAAATTTAAAGTGTACCACGTGATGATTTTACACACACACACACACACACACACACACACACACACTTGAAATGACTACCACAATCCAGTTACTTAGCACATTCATCACCTCATGTGGTTACCCCTCTGCTGTAGATCCCTGGGGCCACTGGCCAGGCCCTGAGTTCTTCTCAGCTGCACTCCCAACTGGTCCCGAGAGGCCAGACTCCCCTCCTGTCCGTCCACACTCGAGGTCAGCCTACTCAGTGCATCAGTGACTTAATCCTGGCTCTGGCCTCACCCCTGCCCTGCTCACGTCTGACTCCCAGCAGCTGGAAGACCAACAACTTACCTTCCCAGCCTTGCGTGCCACGGCCCCTTACAGCACTTTCACGCTCTTTCTGGCTAGGTAGCACCCTCCCCACTCACTCTGGGCTCCGCTTGTTCTGTTCCTTCGGCCTGGAGGGAACAGGGCCTGGGATTCCCTAACGTGGATCGTACCTGGGAGGTCCTCCCTCCTCCAGGCCTGCTTCCCTCTGGGAAGTCCACTCAGAGCTGCTCAACCGCAGCTCTTCCTCTCGTTAGGCGGTAGGAACCTGGAGGGCAGAGGCGGGCACAGGCCTCGGTCAGGCGGGCTGTTAGTCAAAGCTGTCTGGGGGAGGGAGAGAAGGCAGGCAGGGCGGGAAGCAGGTAAGAGGGGAGGAAACACAGCTGACTCAGCTGGGGGCTCCAGTTCCTTCTGGGGCTAAAGACAGGACTCGAGCATCTAAACTCCATGTCTAGGATGTTCGCTAAAATACAAGAAAATGGGTTTAGTGAGGGGAAAGGATAGAAGAGAAGCTCTTGGATAATGAAACTACCTAAGGCAACGGCGTTGTACCCATTTAAGGTGATCAGAGAGCAGACAGAGCTGAGCCCTTGACTTCAATGCCCTCTACAATCCACAATTTACCTCACTGGCTACACCCACTGGGGGAGGTTAATTTTGTTTTCACTGGCTTGAGGAGGGTAGCGTCGTTCGAGAACACCTTGGGCGAGAAGCAAGCGGATGTTCGCTAAGACCGCGGGGATGTCCCTCAGCAGCCAGCATCACGTCCCCGTGGGCCCGGCCTGGGCGCCTCTGCTGTTCTAGATGAAATACGGAATCTCAGGTGGCAGGTCTGCTCTGAGGTGCTGCCTTCACTTCTCTTTGCATTCCTGTTGGGCCCGATCCGGGCCATGCTTACAAACCCATATACTGCATTCGTTTTGGAAGTATGGCTTCCTACTCATATCAACATGAAACTCTATTGAACTTGACTTATCCCCGTCCCTTTCAAGTTTTCAAACCCATTTAGTGAGATTCAAAAGCATATATTATTAGTCCCTCATACATACAGAATGACATACTTATCATTATTCACTGAAGTGTTGTTTGTAATAGCATAAGACTGAAAAACAACTAAATGTCAATTAAAAAGGGATTGATTGAATTATGGTTCAAAAAGTGGAATACCATGCAGCTATAAAACAGTGAGAAGCTCTTGGTGAACTGACTTTGAAATGACTTCCCAGATACTGGTATGTGAAGAAAGCAAGGTAGAGAACAACGTATATAGAATGCCCTGTTCAATTAAAAAGGAGAACAAATTAAAATGAGTATTTATTTGCTTACAAATGTGTGACCTGTCAATGGAAGAACACATAAGAAACTGAGCAGCTGGGGGGGGTGAGGGGGGCAGGGATGGAGGGCAGGCTTTTTTATTGGACATTCTTTTGTGCCTTTGGGATCTGGGGTGAGGTGAATGCATTACCTTTTCAAGAAACAAATGAATTTAAGCCTCCTATTAGGTGACATTGTGAGGAACTGTACAGAGTATTTACACAGATGCGACCCCTGCCTGCTAGGACCCGGGGACAGAATCAAATCCGGACACGGGAGAGGCCCCAGCAAGAGCGGCCAAGAGCAGCCGGTGACGAGCAGCCGAGCCGCAGGGTCCAGGCCGTGCCCCCCAGGCCTCCAGGCCTCCAGCCCCTGCTGCCCGGGATGCTGAACGCCGCCCGCCTCACTTCTCCCTTTGGGCTCCAGGGTGTTCATGTGTCCTGTACTTCAGGTTTATTTTTGTTCAATTAAAACTTGACCTGTTCTAATTTAAACTTCCAAAAGGAATGTAGTGTATGAGTTTGTAAGCATGGCCCGGATCAGGCCCAACAGGAATGCAAAGAGAAGTGAAGGCAGCACCTCAGAGCAGACCTGCCACCTGAGATTCTGTATTTCATCTAGAACAGCAGAGGCGCCCAGGCCAGGCCCACGGGGACGTGATGATGGCCGCCCAGGGACATCCCCGCGGTCTTAGCGAACATCTGCTTGCTTCTCGCCCAAGGTGTTCTCAAACGATTCTACCCTCCTCAAGCCTGGAAGAAAACTGAGATTAACTAGGATTTTCATTCCATTCTAGTAACGGGGGGGATCTCATTAGTATGAGAAATAAACAAATGAATTTAAGCCTCCTATTAGGTGACATTGTGAGGAACTGTACAGAGTATTTACACAGATGCGACCCCTGCCTGCTAGGACCCGGGGACAGAATCAAATCCGGACACGGGAGAGGCCCCAGCAAGAGCGGCCAAGAGCAGCCGGTGACGAGCAGCCGAGCCGCAGGGTCCGGGCCGTGCCCCCCAGGCCTCCAGGCCTCCAGCCCCTGCTGCCCGGGATGCTGAACGCCGCCCGCCTCACTTCTCCCTTTGGGCTCCAGGGTGTTCATGTGTCCTGTACTTCAGGTTTATTTTTGTTCAATTAAAACTTGACCTGTTCTAATTTAAACTTCCAAAAGGAATGTAGTGTATGAGTTTGTAAGCATGGCCCGGATCAGGCCCAACAGGAATGCAAAGAGAAGTGAAGGCAGCACCTCAGAGCAGACCTGCCACCTGAGATTCTGTATTTCATCTAGAACAGCAGAGGCGCCCAGGCCAGGCCCACGGGGACGTGATGATGGCCGCCCAGGGACATCCCCGCGGTCTTAGCGAACATCTGCTTGCTTCTCGCCCAAGGTGTTCGTTCTCAAACGATTCTACCCTCCTCAAGCCTGGAAGAAAACTGAGATTAACTAGGATTTTCATTCCATTCTAGTAACGGGGGGGATCTCATTAGTATGAGAAATGGTTTATTAAATAGGATATTAAAATACACTCAACTTTTCATTTGCGTTTTGCTGACACTTCCTTTCCAGCCGGGTCACCTACCCTTTTACATCACCAATGAAAATTAACATTCTGCATGGTGAGTGCCGGACCCCACGAGGTCCAAACCACCAAAGAGAGACCTGCTCGGGTACATGCATGAGAAGACATTTTAATCATATTTTTACAAATACTTAGTGAACTGGAAAGTGTTCAGGAAATATAAAATATTAAATGAGAAAAGCCAAGACGCAGCATGATGCCAAACCTGTGTGTGTGTGTGTGTGTGTGTGTGAAAAAGACAAAGGTAAATGGTATTTTAGAGGTTTTTCTGTGCAGTAAGGACTATCACTGATATTTATTTTCTTCTTTAATTTCTCCACTTTCTTTAGTTTTAAAAATGAGCTTTTTAATGTTTTCATAATCAGACCAAAACAATCTGAGTTTTAGAAAATGTAATTTGCATTCGTACACTCTAAGGCGTGGAGTGGGAGTGACAAAGTTTAGCAAGATTTTCAGCGACCCCAAAGGGTTGAAACAAAAACATTCAGTCAGTCAGACGGCTCTCCCCACCCACTTGTGAATTGAGAGTCCCTGGGACTCTCCTGTTTGAACATTTCCGTGAGGAACACAATTTGCTGCACAGATTTCGTGAGCACCTGGGGTCGCAGCTCCCCAACCACAACCTCCCGCGAGGCATGACCAGGGGCCACACTTCTCCCCAGGAAAGGTCATGCGGCACTTCTGGGGCCTGACCCCTCTGCTGGGCTCAGACCTGCCAGGGGACCATTAGTGGGATGAAGCTGATGAATAATAAATTGCGCATTTACACAGCCCCTGCCATCCCAAAAGATGGTAAAGTGCCTTATAAACTAACAGATAAATCACATGCTGGGAACACAAGCTCCACCCTGACATGCTTGAGGCCCCTCCTGGGGAGAAAGGGACATTGTTAAACGGTGACCCATCCAAATGGACAGGAAGCCAGGAGCTGCCCATTATGTTGATTTCACCAGCAGACTGGGGATGGAAAACAACCAATCCCTGGGCAGCTGAGGAAAAAGGCATCCAACCCTTAGCGAATGGGGGAGAGTGGGAAGAACCACCGTGGCCTTCCGGAAGAGCCGGAGCCCAGACACCCCACCGGGCATCCCCCCAGAGCCTGCGGTCAAGGAATGTAGCTTCTCAGTCAGCCAGGACCACTGGCCTTTGCTGGGACTTCCCCCACCGCCCGAGCCTCTGTTTCCTGACCTGTAAAACGAGCAGGGTAACAATAGCAATACCACCTGCGGCAGGTGAGCTGCAAGGATCAAGCAAAACCACCCAGCAGCACCACCGCCCACAGTGCGGGTCCAGGGAGGCAGCCGGGGCCATGGTTCCTCCCTCCTCCCCTTTTCCTAAGTCTCACATGGCTCTCCAGTCGGTGTAAATACGGAGAAAGTTTCTAGAAAAGAAAAACTTTCCTTTTTAACCACCAGTAGATGTGAATGGGGAAATCACCAGGAGAATTTTTTGAGCCCCGTGGGGGCTGCCAGTTTCGGCGTGTATTTATCATTCTGTCAGAGCAGAAGGAAGCCGAGTCTTCCAGAGCAATGTCCAACAGACTGGAAATTTAGGGCAAATCTTAAGGAAAATTCGTATTTCCTCCCGTCTCCACAGGTGTCCTGCTCAGTACCTAGTGGAAATGGTGGACTTGTGTGCCCGTGGTATGGGATTATCCCAAGCTCTCAGGCCTTACAGAACATTAGATATGATACACCTTACCCCCTCCCAAGAGCAGAGGTCATGGAAAGGCACAAAGAAAAATCCTTCCAGAAATACAGTCACGAGAGCCCTCACTCTTAAGGGGCGCCTGGAGGGAGTTCCTCAAAAAAGATTCATGCTATCACTTTCCTTGGGGTTGCAAAATACGTCATAGTTCGTGGTGGGGGTGAGAGATCTACCTGGAAGCCATTCCCTAGACCAAAATGAGAGTAAGGCTATTTTGAATATTACTGTTCCTAACAGTCACCACCTCCCGGGCGCCGGTCCCTGCTGACCCGCAGTGTAGACCTGGCTTCCCAGTGGGGTCCCCAGGCCAACCGCATCGCCATCACCCGGGGCTCGGAGAGACACAGGCTCCAGCCCAGGCCCAGGCTGGTCGATTCAGAGTCTGATTTTAACAAGACCTGCAGGTGACTCATGTGCACCTACAGCCGCAGAAGCACCCACCAGGCAACCTCACCGAGGGGCCCCCATGGTGCTCCACAGCCTCATCTCAGGGGACCGACAGTGGAGGTGGAATTCCATGTGACCAAGAGGACAAATGATTTGCCCCGACTGGCACAGAGCTGGAGCAAAGCTCGCCGACTCCCTCTCAGGGGGTTTCAGTTCGTGTCCGGATCTGGGCTGCCCTTTGCCCCAGGCACAGGGGGACACGGCGCGAAAGGCCCCGCGTCCTCTGCCTCTCCAGACAGGAGCCCTGTAGCCAGGTAAACAGCTGCTGATTCATCA